TCATGATTCCATAACGATAGCCAAATGGCGGCCGCTTTACGGCCGAAAATGCATTGAAATCGCACATTTTCACCATTCCGGACCCAGATCTCAGTTATGCATGGACGGATTTCATTCAAATTTGGTACATACATTAAACATAATAGGACCTTGATGCACGTCATTTTTTTTTCAGATCAAGTTCGAAATGGCCGACTGGCGGCCATTTTGTTTTAAAGAATTCAGTTCTGGATCCGTATCCAAGACATGTCTGGATTGATCAAGTTCAAACTTCACACACACATGGTACATCATGTCACAAATAGATATGTGCATTTGTTTCATGATCCGCTTAACAATAGCTGAATGATGGCCATTTTAAGACCGAAAATGCATTAAAATCACGTATTTTCACAATTCCGGAACCAGATCTCAGTCATGCATGGATGGATTTTGTTCAGATTTAGTACAATGTGTTGTACATATGCAGGTGCATTTCGGTCATGATCTGCTTTGAATGTATATGTCACTCAAATATGAACGGAACGGGGACGTGTCATTGACAATGACTTGTTTGTCATATGTATTTCATTATTCAAAGACGAAAACTGTGATATCTTGTTATACTGACAATGAGAGATTCTTTAACACATTGCTTTGCTGAAAGTCTCCATGGATAGACAAAATGAATGGGAAAATGACGTCATCAAATCATATGTTAAAATTAGTGGAGTGACTGCGAAATGGTATTAAAGCGGGGGAGTCGTCGCCTACGCATGCGTCAGGTGGCCATATCGTGTCACTGTTTATGAGGCTTTGCGTTCTTAACACGTGTTGTTATCATCGCTTGGGACTCAATAGCCGCGCGTGCGCAGGTGACGACACTCCCGCTTTAACGCAAAATCATCTGTCGTGTTCATTACATCCATTCTATTTCACTTATTTACATATCTATATCGTCTGAGGTTACAGTGATGTAAAACATGACGCAATGAAAATCATTGAACATATATATATCCACAATTCACACAGGATCCGACCATCACATAATTTACATATCTCAATCCACTAAACATTATTTGGAATGGTCCCAGGAAAGTAACTGTAACGATGGAAATGTTTACAACGACTGATAAACTGTTAATTATGGTCTATAAAAATATACTTTGTTTGCTCTGAGTTAAACTGTAATGTTCTTACTTATTTACTTTTTCAGATATTCAGAAAATACAGTAAGTATTTCATTTACAGTAAAAATAGGTTTTTATTCCTAATTACATTTTTATAATACATTTCATAATTTGTGTTTAGGAAACAAAATTGGAAATTGCGTATGAATTACAACATTTAATGTTGAAAATGCTTCATACGCTTACAAAAAATAAGATCTTTGTACAAATTACGGACGAATACAATAGCTGTTTAAATTTAACACCTTGCCCATGTCGACGAATTTACGTTTTTTTAATTTATTTAAATTGCATTATTGCAAAAATAAAAACAATTGATTACAGCTTACGAAAATGCCTCTTGCCGACCCTCTTCTCAATGCATGCAAAACAAGTATAGCGCCGCCTAACAGGGGTTTGAATAAACACAAATATTTCAGTTGTCTGTGTTTGAGGGCGTATGTGCTGATATAAAAAATGGCGGCGTGCATGTAATAAATGCAACGTGAAGCTGTGTATATATAACTTGTTGTTACACCGAGTTGTGGGCGTCAATCGGGATTATTATTTACTGATTATAAGCCTTGATTAATCGTAGTCCCGGGGTAGCTTGTAAATTATAACAGCGAGTGGCTATAGGCCATACAATCACAGAACAAGCTGACGTTCGAAGCTGGCGATCACGCTGCCAACAGTGTTTAATTCTTTGATGAACTAGGTAGGAAACCATCGCAACCGGACATTAATGTTTCGCGTATTCGCTAACAATTCATGAATAATTGTTTCTCGGAGTTCCTGTATAAGAAGTGAGCGAGTATAAAACCCGAAGCTTTGTACGTTTTCAAACGCTGGATATAGATTTCTGTCCACAACTAACAATCTCTTCATCAAAGAAGTTTCACTGCCGTTGAAGTCTGGAGATCTTAAAACAGTTTATTTGACATTACTAAGTTGAATGGTATGGAACTGCATATTTTGGACCACAAAGTACATGTGATTAGCGTGGAGAAGTATGCCATATCCGTCGTAACCCGTGCATTGGTCAAACTAGCTTTATTGTATAAACAGACAAAGTAAGTTTGTTTTTAATCTGTACACATATTTAGTCGAAAAACTTCTTTAAACACCGATCCCACCCCTAACCTAAATCCTGACACTTATTTTAATGTCATTAAAACACTAATTTTTGTTTTGCAGATTCATATTTTGAGTGGGTGTGTCACGTCATACATGTATATCGGCTAGACTACATTGAAATAGAAAACCCTGGAATAACCAACAATAGCCATGCACGCAATACCAGCTGTTTGTTCAGCGTGTTTTTGATATTGGTGATGTGTGTGTGTGGGAGGGGGCAATTATTTAAAAAAAAATATTATACACTTAACAATTTTCAATAAATTTTTAACAATCTAGGAACAATTTGATTCAGTTTAAAGCACCATATAGTTGCTTTGTGTCAAGTCAAATATGGATTAAATGCAATATATACTACCGGGTATTAATGTAAAAAAATTGACTATTATAAGAATATTGGAAAATGCAAACTCAGACTAAACCATGCCAACATCCCAAGACCATAATACTGTTTCCACGACAATATCCCATGACCGCATTACTGCATTACTGCAGAAAGACAACAGGTTATAACTTATGGAGATATGATGAAAGTGGTTGAATAATTTAATAAAAATCATGAACAGTGAAGCTTATCAAATATTTTGCTCTGATTATTGGTTGTACTTTAGAGGTCACAGCAACAGCTGTTCTATAAAGCTTATGTTGCTGAGTCAGCAAATATTAGATATTATACTGGCTTTCACAAAATACAGATTAATTCAATCAAATAACGATTCTTGTGACGGCGTGACAGTTTTTTATGGCAATTTATAAAATATTTAACCATTATTTATGGGCAATACAAGTGTACAATAAATACAATTGTT